ACTCACTTAAATTAAAAATATATGATATTCCATTATTAATATTAATATTATCAATTTCAAAATAATGTATGTTATTTAATGTGTAAGATTTATATACTGGTTTATATTTATTAATATATTTTTTAACAATATTACTATTTTTTATTTTTAATAATCTAACATCACCTAAATTATAAGATAATACAAGGTTTTAAATTTCTATTGGTAAATCATAAAATATCATATAATATAAAATAATATATTTAATTATTTAATTATTTAATTAGTAATTTTCAAATATTGAGAAAACTTGTTCATAAACATTTTATCTGGGTTCTTTTCTAAAAGGTTAATATATAAAAAACTATGCGGTTCATCAGTGGCAGTCTCATATATTTTATAAATTAGTTTCTTGCTTTCATGTAAATTATCGCTTCTAACAATTGCTGATAATTCATCTTGCAATATTTCTATCTCTTTAAAATTTCTAACTTTATAATAAAACAAATGACTTATATTTACCCTAATAATTGGTGGTACGGTTGACGATTTTTGAAGACTTACAAGTGTTGATATTCCACTATGGCGACCTCTACAAAATAAAGAATTTAACAATTTGTTATTTCTTGTTATTGCTGGATTATCAGATACATCATCCAAAATTACCAAAATATTAAATAATTTATTCGTTCCTTGTTTTTTCTGATATTCAATTATTTTATTTTGAGTTTCTATAACTCTTTCTAAATCTTCAACATTGAACTCATCCCACCAACACGGTTCTTTATCATTATCTACTTTCAAACCTTCTTTAATGTATTTTTTAACTGGAACCAAATACTATCCAAATTTACAGATGGAGACCAGATAAAAATTCTTTCAAATGCACCTCTATAAATATCAAGTATCATTGATACAAGTAAAGTTGATTTTCCAGAGCCTGACGGGCCCACAATCATCGCTCTCATCGGCAATTTAGGGACGACCTCGTGCTTGCTTTGCTTAAAGTCATATTTGATTTCATCAATTGGTTTTACATCAGGCATAATAAAAATAATATTATAAATACTTATAAAATAAAAATATATAATATAATTATATCATAATGGCAATAGAATCTATTAATTTAAGTGAAGTAGATAGTATTCGAACTATATATAAATTTCGTGATATTTTAGTTCCAGATACTGGCCAAGTATATTATGATACGATTTTATTGTTTTTATCGATAATTAAAAAACAAAATATTATAATATCTAAATCATCAATCGAAAACGAGGATACCCTAAATTATAATAAATTAGTAAATTTTATGAAAGATTATTCCTATATATATATATGCAAATGACATGATAAATAGTGTACAAGAAATTATTAATAATAATATTCTAGATGTTAGTATATCAACTGCAGTAAAACTTACTAAAGAAAATAGTTTAAATACATATTCTATTTAATATTAATGGAACATCTTTTTTATGATATGCTGGCAGTGAATATCATAAAAATGGAACAGGCTTTCCATTGTTTTCAATCAATAAGCATTGAAGCTAATTAGTTTTGTGTCTTGCTCGCGTGTGCAATGAAAACCCCAAGTGCTGTGCCCCACCAATATTCTATTATGCATGAAAATAATAAGATTAAATAACTATTTTATCTTATTATTTATATGAATATGAGTTATTCGGATTATATTGATATAATAAATGAAGTAGAAAATATAGAACGGGTTGTCATAACTGATAATAGATGTAAAAAAATATGTTATTTTATTTTAGAATTAATTAAGTTTTTGATACAATATATTAAAAATATAAATATTAATATAAATGCCAAAAAAGAAAACCAAAAAGAATAAGATAGGTTTAAGTGTTTCTTCAACAGATGAAGATAGCGGAGAAATTGTTAAAGAAACAACAGTAATTGAGTTTTCTTGTCCGATGTGTAAAAGGGCGTTAGAGATGAAAAATGAATTAGAAATAAAAAATAATAAAAAATGTAAATGTTCATGTGTTCCAACAAGTTTCAAAATAAGTAAAAATGATAAGAAAATGAGTATTGATAAAACTAAAGACAGTATCAACTTAGAAACTGATGTCCATAATATAACTTTTAAATGGGGTAAGGATGCATCACTCTCGGGAAATGGTGATAAGGAAACTCAGGAAACTATTAAACAAATCATGAAAAATTAGTATTTAAAGAGTAGGTTTAACATAATTGCACTTTATACGTATATATAATTAAATAAATAAATAAATATCTAATTATTTATATAATCATAATGCCAACTATGAATGGGCAAGATCATAGAATTATAACTTTTGATGATGAAGAAATTAATGATATATTCGATGGTGATAAAAACTTTGCTAGACAATTGAGTATAGAATATTTTTATTGGTTAGATGCTAAATTTAATAATAAATATTTTATGAAAGGTATAACTAAACCAGATAAATTTGATAAAATGTTGAAGTTTTTTGAAATTACAGGTAACGATGAAGGTTTAATAAAATTGAAAAATAAAATTGATGAAAGACTCTTAGAATATAATTTATTTACATATATAACATTAAATTATTCAGGTAAATTGTATAATTAAATAAATAATTATCTAAATAAATATATAGTAATGTCTGAAAATGAGAATTATACTATTAATGATTTAATGAAGAAGATAACATTAATTGGTAAAAATATCAAAACCTTAAATGATATGATTAAATCCATTGATGACAAAATGAAACCAGTTGAACGCAATGAAGATAAAGAACAAATCGAAAAGATATTTCAAGCAAAATCTATAGGAAGACCATCGGGCGACTACCCGACAAAGCACAAGAAATACTGTGATATGTTGAATACAGGAAAAATCAAACAACCTAAAAGCACCACTTTAGAATTTTACAAAATTTCAAAAAATGATGATGGAGTATATGTATTATTTGAATAATTAATATCTAAATAATTCTAATAAATGAATTTATTAGAATTATTTAGCGGAACAAAAAGCGTCGGAACCATAGCAAAGTCGCTTGGATTTAATGTAATATCATTAGACTTGAAAAATGCTGATATCAACACTGATATTTTGGAGTGGGATTACAAACAGTTTGACAGAAACCATTTTGATTTTATTTGGAGTAGTCCCCCATGCACTGAATACAGCATAGCAAAAACTAGGGGAATTAGGAATATCGAATATGCAAATAATATTGTCTTAAAAACTATTGAGATTATCAAATATGTCAATCCTAAATATTTTGTAATCGAAAATCCACAAACTGGATTATTAAAAAATCAGGAGTTTATGGATGAGTTTGAATTTAAAGATGTTGATTATTGTAAATATGGAATGTCTTACAGAAAACGCACTAGGCTCTGGAATAACATTACAACTTGGAAACCTAGAGAATTATGCAAAAAGGATTGTGGCAACATCAGGAATAATAAACATATTGAAACAGCACAACGGCTACCATCAGGCACTAAGGAAAAATGGGGTGACAATCCAATAATACATAAACAGGACGACCTATATAAAATACCTAGTGATTTAATATTGGAAATTTTGATGAGTTTAAATTAGGGGGGTTCATCACAACATCCACCAACAGTGTCACCATGTAATCCCTTGTCCCGCGGAATTTAAGATGACATGATGTCACATTAAAACCCTTCAACTGACAAAACCCTAATCCCCACCTAAATTAAGGATTTTTAGGCATATTTCTAGAGGGCACGGAATTTCAGATGACATGATGTCATGATGTCACTACAAATTCCTTGGGGTGACTTCATGTCATTTGAAAATCCTTGGGGGCAAAAACCCTAAAACCATACTATAATGATAACATTTATACCCTTATATGTTATAATTATAATGTAAAATGACTTAAAGGAATAAATACTTAATATAATAAGAGGAAAATGCCAATGATAGGAGTGACAGAAAAAGAGCTGGAACAGGATAGAAAGATAATATTGAGTTTCATTAAGGATAATCCCTATCCATCGTATAAACAAGTCATTGAAATAATTAAAAACGATAAAACAATGAAATATATATATATATCCAGATATGTTCGCTGAGTATGGAGAACAAAATCATCAATGGATAAAAGAGATTTACGAAAACATAATGAAAGAAGAACTCGTTAAACGTAATGGTAATAGTATTAATGAAAGAGGAGGAATGACAACAATGCATTGTAATTATTATACTTTGGTATCAGTGTTGTTGCGTTATTTAATACAACAAAGAGCACCAATGAAAGATTATGACGTTAACTTAATCTGGTATAATATCAGAAACATTTTGAGCAGTTCTTGGAACAACATAGGCGACTGGAAACACTAAAAACAGGTTTAATCATATTATAATTATCACATGTAAACTATTATATGTTATAATTGTAATATATTTATCGTTTGTAAAGATTGAATTATTATATTTTCCTAATTTGCTTATCTCTTTCAAGGTGCGTTGTTTAGACTTGGTATGCTCTTTTGATTTTTTCGTGCTTTGGCTGTTTGTTTTTATTTTGTTTGATACTCTTGTGATATTTTTGTTGGTATGTTGCTTTGTTTTTTGTTGATGTGTGTTTTTGAGTTTGGGTTCTTTGATGATTTAGAGTGTTGCTGTTTTGTTGGTATGCTTGTTTGAATTATTTAATGGTGTATGCTGTGATTAAATATTTTTGTTGCTGGTTGTGATTATTTATTTTGTTTGCTTGTTGTTCTGGATTTTGTTTTCTGTTTGTTGTGTTGCTGTTGGAGAAAAAATAGTAGAAAGAATAATTCTTTGAATTCTCCTTTTACTATTTTTTTTTTGGGGGGGGGTGAGGTTCATAGACACAAAAATGGCGTCCGTACCCAAGTGTTCATGGTACACAACCTATGCAACACCAGCTGTCTCTCAGCTCAGCAATATAAAATTGACTGACCAAGGGCCTTCTTGGCGCGGCAGCTGTACTGGCTGCAAAACGCCTCATACATCCGCCAGCTCCCAAAGGCGCCTTGCTGGACTTGGCACCTCGATGGCGGCCGTGTCCACGGACCGCCGCGCCGCAGCGCGCAGCGCCTGACAACGCGATGCGACCCATCGGTATCAAAATGGCCTACCCAAAGCCAGGTAAAGAAGTAAAAAGCCGGCGAAGACCGCCATTTCTGGCGAGGGGACTGCCCCCCCAATCTTCATCTACCCGGGTGACCCGGGTGTTGAGTGTGGCACTTGGGAAACCCACTCCCTTTTCCAGCTGGCTGAAAGGGGAACGCAGGTACATGAATTGAGAAAGGAAGGTTTCAAGATCTCTGCTTGAGACTGGACATGTGCCAGCGTCAGAACCCCGTAATGCCCAGGAACCCGCTTGTCTATGTTCCCTTACGGGGTCCATGACCGTCCAAGCAAAAAGGATCTTTGAAAATGCCACGGCGGAAATATGTTCTGGCCTTTACGCGCTTTCGAAACTCATGGCGCCGAATCCCCGGGCGAATCGATACCGTCCATCAGTTTGGCCTGCGAAGCTCAGTGAGACTGACAGCTAAGCCCTGAGAATATCTCGATGCCAAGCCACGGGCCTTCACCGCAACATGTCAGAACTGGCAAAGAACCAAACAAGTCTTGCTGAGCAAACCTTTTGCAATAGCCATCTCATGTCACCTTAACGGACGGACATACACGCTTTGGCCGCCGTTCTTGGTGGTCCACCGCTTTTTGGGCAGGACTCTGGAAGTCGCCTCCATCCAAACATGATCAACAACTCCGAATGCAGCGCCTTGGCGAAAAACCCACAGCCGGCGATTGCCGGTGAAGGCCCACCACTTGCCATCTTTCCATGTAATTTGCATCCTTGGAAGGGTCTGAACAGAGGTTTCGCCACAAAGAATCTCTCGCAACGTCTCATGCAAAGCCCTGCCGCAGCTAAAACGGGCACTGATTGAGTCGTGGGAATAATAAACCTGTGTGGGAGAGATGAAAATACAGCCACTCTTGCGATCTGTCGGCTCGCCAGGAATTAACAGGTGCCGGCTGGGAATAGGAACCTCAGAAAAGCAAACCCTGTGATGCTCATCCATGTGCCTTTGGTATGCCCCTTCGTCCCGCCATGACAAGTTGCACAAGTCACAGTGATGGTCGTAGCCGCACAAGGATTCATTCAAGTGTTGTTCAAGAGCACCTGAATGCTTGAACAGCTTCTGGCAAAATTGGCACGGGACGTGGTCAGCCATATGCCTCAAAAACTCGTCTTCGTCCCGCCATACCAACTCACACAAGTCACAGTGATGGTCGTAGCCGCACCAGGATTCATTCAAGTGTTGTTCAAGAGCACCTGAATGCTTGAACAGCTTCTGGCAAAACTGGCACGGGCCGTGTTCAGCCATATGCCTCAAAAACTCGTCTTCGTCCCGCCATGACAAGTTGCACAAGTCACAGTGATGGTCGTAGCCGCACAAGGATTCATTCAAGTGTTGTTCAAGAGCACCTGAATGCTTGAACAGCTTCTGGCAAAATTGGCACGGGACGTGGTCAGCCATATGCCTCAAAAACTCGTCTTCGTCCCGCCATACCAACTCACACAAGTCACAGTGATGGTCGTAGCCGCACCAGGATTCATTCAAGTGTTGTTCAAGAGCACCTGAATGCTTGAACAGCTTCTGGCAAAACTGGCACGGGACGTGGTCAGACATATGCCTCAAAAACTCGTCTTCGTCCCGCCATACCAACTCACACAAGTCACAGTGATGGTTGTAGCCGCACCAGGAGTCCCTCAAGTGTTGTTCAAGAGCACCTGAATGCTTGAACAGCTTCTGGCAAAACTGGCACGGGCCGTGTTCAGCCATATGCCTCAAAAACTTGTCTTCGTCCCGCCATGACAAGTTGCACAAGTCACAGTGATGGTCGTAGCCGCACAAGGATTCATTCAAGTGTTGTTCAAGAGCACCTGAATGCTTGAACAGCTTCTGGCAAAACTGGCACGCGACGTGGTCAGACATATGCCTCAAAAACTCGTCTTCGTCCCGCCATAACAAGTTACACAAGTCGCAGTGATGGTTGTAGCCGCACCAGGAGTCCCTCAAGTGTTGTTCAAGAGCACCTGAATGCTTGAACAGCTTCTGGCAAAACTGGCACGGGCCGTGTTCAGCCATATGCCTCAAAAACTCGTCTTCGTCCCGCCATGACAAGTTGCACAAGTCACAGTGATGAGGCGACATATGCGATCATCCGAACAGGAGTTGCACAAATGCTGCCAATCAAGCTAGTCCGTATGTGCCCCAAGGCTAACGTGATGGGGCCTGACCGTAAGTCCCGAACCAAACGGCGCATTCTGCCGCACGATGACAACTCGCAAGCCAATGCAAGTCCCAACGGACCAAGCCTTGGCCCCTTCTGCTCCCCACTCAATGCATCCCAGTGGTCACATGCGCTTTTCGTCTACTTTTCTGCTCGCGTCTGCGTTCGCAGTCTGGACGCGGGCGTGAAGATCAACTGCATGGAAGCCCTGAGCGGAGCGTACACACTGGCAATGTCTAGAGCTCTGGGGAAGAGAAGGCTTCGCACATGATCGCTTTTCCAAATACTGTGGAGGATGTTCGTATCACCCTAAAAACATGTTTGCGCATCGCAAGCCTCTGCCTTGCTTTGGAAAGGGCCATTTTCCATATCAAAGGGCAATCCCAAAGGAAACCAACAAGCACAATTTCCCTGTTGACAAAGCTACGCCCTGCGGGTTCGGGGCATGAGCTTGAGACAGTGACCAGATCGTCGCGACCGGTGGCACCGGCGAGCAAGGCCGAAATCATGTTGCATCAAAGAGGATTGCTGGGAAAATCCGGAGCCCTTGTGGCTTTCTTGGCTTTTTTGAGCACCCAGTGGCCCAGCGTTGTCATTTTGAAAGGATGGTCGAGCTGGGCCAATTCCCATGGCGGTTGCCGGGCAAGCAACCCGTGTGGCAGATTTGGGGCAAGAAATGCCGTCACCCTCATCTCATAAGGCCCTCGTTCCAAAGTGAAAGGACAATCGAAACCCTTTCCACAGATGGGATGATGGTGCCTCTTTCGGCCCAACTTCCCGTGGCCACGGTCTAAGCTGCGGCGCGGGACCTCTTAGCGCTTCAATCGCGGGAAAAGCGGCTTCGCGGGGGTTCAGTGGCGGCCCCCCTGCCGAGAGCAATGCCGGCTTGGTTTGGCCGACATCAGAGGCTCCACAAGCCAGGCCCCTAACATTAACACCAGGGCTGGATCAGTGTCAAAACCAGATGCTCTCAATGAATAGCAAAGGAGGGTGAGAAGGTGACGCTTTTGGCCCGAGTCGCGCCAGCCCAGGCAGTGGTCGCACGGGTCGGCACGCTTCCAATTGCAAGGCCGGCTGAGGGATCACAGCTATGGCTTGGCCAAGGCAACAAAGGCGGTGCTGAATGGGAGGTTAGAAACTAAGCACAGGCAGCGTGTTGCCAGAATGTGATCAACCGAAACTTGCAAATCCGCGCTTTGAGGCGATTCATGAACCTGTCCACTTTGCATGAAAGGAAAAACACCTTTCTGGCCAACCTTCCAGATCCTGGAGCCCTTCAGTTTGCAACTGGCATCCCTTCGTCCGCGCCCGCGATCCGCAGGCGCTTGCCCGCTTGCCCAGGCTGGCGAGTTCAAACCCTCACCGCGTGCACCGACTCCCGCTTGGGGTATTCGAGCTCCATCCGTTGCGACTCGCAGTCGGCCGGGGCCTCAGCCGGGGCAGAAGAGTCGAAGGAGTGGTCTCGAGGGGAACACAAGTCCGAGCCTTGGCACATGGCCAAACAAACAAGCAAAAGAAACCTTGGCCTTGCAGCACAAGTCTGCCCCATCGAGCCTGAGAGTTGCAGTCTACTGGGGTCTTTTGCAAATGCCACTCCTAATATGCTATCCGTGTGTGGCACTTGAGCGGCGCCCAAGCATCATTTAGGTGTGGTTCTACCAAGACCCTTTAAAGGGTCTTAGGGACCACCAGCAAGTTGGAGCTGGGAAGGAAGACAACCAAATGCCAGCGGCTCTCCATCGGCTTTGGCCCGAGACCACGCCTCCCCCCCCTTCCGAACGCCCGAAACCCCCGCCGTCCCCGGCCTCCGCGGGCGCCGGAGCTGGAGCCTCCGGAGGCGCCGTGGGGCGCAGCCAGAGCGCCAAGAAGGCCAGCGCTATCGCCAGCCTCGCGCGACCCCGCGGAGTCGACGTTCGACGCAGTGGCCGCGTTCGACGCTCGCTCCGCCCCGGGTGCGAAGGGAAAGCCCAGGAGGCACAACGCCCGTGTCTCTTCTTTTTTTTGGGCGGGTCGAAGCCATATCCCAAGCGCCGCCGGAAAAATCGGCGCTTGCAGTCCAGAGTCATGTGATGGATAGGTTGCCACAAGTGCAGAACGTCTGAACCGCTCGGCGTTCGGTCGAAACTGACCTGCCGGCTCTATGGTGCTTCCAAACGCCCGACCACCCTCGATTCCCAACAGCCCACGCATGGGGCGGCAGTCTTCCTTGAGCGTTTCCAGCTAGGTGCAAAGGGACTGAAAGGTCCAATCTCTTCATCCTGGACACATGGCTGTGGGAAATGACCACTTCTGTGATGCAACAAAAAGGGCTTCCCAACGACAAGTCCCCCAATAGAGGGGCATTCCCTTGTATTACGGAAGTGGTTGGATAAACCCCGAATGATCCCACAACCCTGCTCTTAGTTCTTGGGAACATGTGCCTTCCATTCACCTTTCTCCGAGGGGCTCAGCAGCGCCCACCAGGAGCATGGTGCCTGATGCGACAAGGCCGCTCTCTCACCTGTGGATCTGAATTGGCATGGATCTGGTATGACTTGACTAATTGGTATTGACCCTTGGTGGACATCATTACAACATGGGCGGGTGGCTTAAAATTACAGAGCCAGGGTTACGCAGGTTCTAGTCTCAGGCTCCACTTGCCAAGGTACACCAGGCTGCCATTTTCATACATTCTTTTGAGCCACAGACATGGAGATGGGTGTGGGTCCCTGGTAAATGGAAACAAAGACTAAAACCTGCGCTCCAATTCCTGGTTTAATTTTGACCCATGCCCAGATGTAGTTCCGCCA